CGAGCTGTCTCCGCAGGCCCGAAGCTCCGCGCGGATCGCCTGGACACGACGCCTCCGCCAGGCCCGGCTCGAGGCCGCCCCCGCGCCCAGGCGCACTTGGCCGCCCGGTGCCCACGGCGCGCTGGGCCTCAGACCATGCCTGGTGAGTCGGGAAGATCCCTAGTGCTCAGCCTCCTTGCTCTCCTGGCGCGGCTCAGATTGGCCCGCGCTGGGGGCACCCCCCGCTTTGCGCGCGCAAGGTCGCCCCCAACCCCTCAGCTCCCACGGTGCGCCTTCCCAGTGTCCCCCGGGGCTGGAGAGCTTGGTGGCTCTGGGGCAGGTGGAGATGGGGGTCTCAGCAGCTGGGAGGCGGGCGAGGTTTAGTATGGTCAGGGGGCGCTGAGATTTGGTAATTTTCCTTCTGTAAAAAAGTAGCCCTTGGAGATTAAATGGGCTGGTTTGTTGGCTAGCGTGGAAACGCTTGGGCGTCTCACGGACGCGGAGACCCGTGGGAGTTCATGCCCCTATGGCTCTGGGAAGGCAGAGCCTGTGGTTCCCCTCCCCCAGCCTCGCCCCTCGAGGTCAGGCTGGAGGCGGAACTGGTTATTCCGATAAAGATCCAGGGTTAATCCTGCAGCGGGGCAGCAGGCCAACCGTGGCCAGATGCTGGGACTTCGGCGAGCCCTGGCCCCCCCAGAGCTGCAATTCGGTCCTGTCTGCCTTCTCTTGGGGCTGGGGGGGGATATCCGGCTTGGACAGTAGACTTCCGAAGCTTAGAAACGTGATGATGGAGGAGTTCCCTGGGGATCCAGTGGTTGGGACTCGGTGCTTCCAATGCAGGGGGCACGGGTTCCATACCTGGTGGGAGAACTAAGATCCCACATGCTGCGACATGGCCAAAAAAAAAAAAAAAAAAGCTCCCAAGAAATGTGATGATGAAACATAACCTCCACCCATGGGAAAGATGCCCGTCCTGTTTTTTATCATGAAGACATCCCTTGCTTGCACCAGTCTGGGCCTGAACATGCATGAGCGCATTTTTCAGAAAAAAAAAAAAACAAAAAAAATCTGGTTACTTTTTATTCAGAGGAGCGATTTGGTAATTCAGGGAGCGGTTTCCATGCTTCTGTACCTCCCCCGTGCCTTAGGAGAATCGTTGGGGCAGAAAAGGCAGATTTCCTGCCGTGTGCTGCGGTGTGCTGCGGTGTGCTGTCAGATTCTTCTCAGAGAAGCAGAAAAGTCTGTCTGTTCCAGGCGGCGGTTTGGAGCTCTGCAGGGTGAAAAACACATTTTCTGCCAACCCGCTGGGGTCAATAAAATGGTACCATTCAGGAGGGTCGTTCGGACACATCGGCCACGGAATGTGCTAGAAAGAGCCCATTTGGGTGCTCAGCACTTTGCAGGGAACAAAAAACACCTTTGAGTAAAAGAGGAGGGGATAGAGGAGGAAGTCGGGATGTTATTTCGGGGGAGGGTCCGGGGGTTGGTTGTAAGGGGGGTGGGGTAGAGGAAGGCGAGGACGAGAAGTAAACGTTTCTCCCAGACCTGTTATTAAAACCGTCAGCCACCGCCGCCTTCAGGATAAACTCGGTTTTGCGACGTTTTTTTTTTCCCCCCCAACCTGGGGCTGGAGGACAGCCACCCGATCTATTTCTGTTTTCCCACCCTGCACGCATGCCAAAAGTCCCCTCCCCAGTGCCCTGCCTGGTGGAAACAAAGCCTTTCAATGCAGGAGGCTTGGATAATTGCCGCGTGTTTTTTTGATGCCACGCCCAAACCTGACAGATGGGAGTTTCTTAAAGGTAAGGTGGTGTTGGAATCTGCAGACTTGTCCATGAAGTTTTCATTCAGCCTTTGTGATATTAATATCCACTGGTTTGCCTTTGCACTTGAGATGGAGATTTTATCCAGGCATGATTTTGCACCATCATGCCCCTGCCCCTGGGGGCTGGCCTTCGGAGTCATGTGTCTTTGACCTAGAACGTGAGGTTGAGTCTTGGGGTCGCTGGAGAAAGGGGGTCTTCTCTCCACTGGGGCTGTTAACAGAAGCCATAATCCCTCCCCCTAGCAAAGGGAGAGTCCAGTAGTTCCGTAAAACCCTCTCTGCAGACCCAGCCCTGTCTGTCTCCTCCTTGAGAATTGGAAGCTCTGGACAGTTGCCCGTCGCTGCTGCCTGGACCCACTGTAGCCCACCTGCCCCATGCCTCAGCCATCTGGGTCCCCAGAGACCTCCCAGATGATGTGGCTCTGTCTATAGATAGAGATACGTGATAGATAGATATAGATAGATAGATAGGTAATAGGTGAATGATAAACAGTTGGATAGACAGATGTTAGATAATGATAGATGGATAGAAAAATGGCTGGATGGGTGGATAGCTAGACAGATACCTTTTGGGCTGCAGACTTGAGTTCTGAGGTTTGCTGTCTTTAATACTCAGCCCACAGTGGAAATGCCAGGAATTCTCATTCCCTCTTAACACAGGATAATGTGTAGACAGGAGCTCGTTGGAACAGGCACACTTGGGCGTTTACCCCAATGGAATGTCAAGGGTACGATGCCAGCTCCAGGAAAACCGGCGCCAGAAGCTTGGGTCCTGGTGTTCTGTTTGGCGTGACGGTGTCTTTGGGCCGTGCTCTGGGCAGGGCACAGTGGCTGGAGGGGAAGACCGTCTGGTCTTTGAGAACTGAGCTCTGTGTGTTCCAGCCGTGGGCTGTGAATTTTAATTTCTGTCGACAACACGGGAGCCAAGGCCTGGATTTCTTGATCCCTTTGTTTTTATCCTGGCAACCATCTCCTGGGGGCCCCAGACTCACATTGTTTCAAAGTCCCCGTAAAAGTCAATGTCACGAGTTCCCACTTAGATTCAAAAGTGCCATAAATCGGATTGGCCATCCGAGTTTCTTCCTCTGCTGTGGAGACATTAGGAAACTGAGAGCCTTTTGGTTAATGAGACAATATACTTTCCCTTCTCCCATCTCCTCGGCCTCATATATCCTTGAGTTGAAGTCTTTCCAACAAGTGGGTTGTGTGGAATTTAATTAATGGCTTTGGCCATTCCTTCTGAGAGCCCAGTTCTTTTGAGCTGGGTGGGAGTCCTCACGGTGACTCAGATAATCCAAAGCTTTGTTTCCACCTTTTGCTTTGTGTTCGCCCAAGACCCAAATATTTGGGGTGAGTTTTTGAGACTTGAATGCAGAATCAAATAAGGGGTCTGAGCTATGCCCATTTGCCCTGTTGCAGCACCAGGAAGGTTTTTTTTTAATTGAAGCCTGGACGATTTATAACGTGTTGATTTCAGGTGTATGGCAAAGTGATTCAGTTATACGTATATATCTATATTATTTCGACTCGTTTCCCTTATAGGTTATTACAAGATAATGAATATGGTTCCCTGTGCAATACAAGTAGGACCTCGTGTTTATCTTATATACAGTCGTTTGTATCTGTTAATCTGAACCAGGGAAGTTTAATCGTGCTCTACTTGACTTTGTCTCACTTATGTTTAGGGTTTCCTCTTTTCCTGTGTGTGTGTGTGTGTGTGTGTGTGTTTTCTTTGTTTTGAAGATTTTTTTTTGCTTTATTTTGAAACAAAAGGATGCATGTGAAATGTCCTTGATGCGTATTTTAGAACAGCGAACAGTTATTCAGTTAGAGTCGTGAAGCTTGAGAGAGTTGGAGGTGACCCTCAGCCCCGCCGTCCCATGAGACCCGTCGAAAACATAACCCTGTTGTTTTTGTCTGCGTCCACAGTGTCTGACCAAGCGTTTGTCACGCTGGCTACCAATGACGTCTACTGCCAGGGGGCCCTGGTGCTGGGGCAATCATTGCGGGACCACAGGGCCACCAGGAGGCTGGTGGTGCTGGTCACCCCTCAGGTGTCCAACCTGCTCAGGTAAGACTCACACACACACCTGGTCCTTCCTCCTGAAGACGCAGGTCCCAGCCATGGTTCATGGGCCCAGACCACCGGCTGTCCTGGGGGGCCTCAGACACTTGCACATGACCCTCCAATCGTTATTAAAGGAGGAGGCTCTGCCAGGGGTGTGGCCAACTTCAGAATCCTTGTAGACAACACGCTGTGTGGGTACCGTGTCTTGGCTCAACTACGGAAATTCAGAGGCCAGTTATTTTGGGGGTGGGTGGGCAACTTTGAGAAACAACTGTCCTAAGCTAAGTTAAAGATTTTTTTTTTACGTTTTTATTGAAATATAGTTGAATTACAATGTTGTATTATTTTCAGGTGTACAGGAAAGTGATTCAGTTATATGTACATACATATATATTCTTTTTTCCCTTATAGATTATTACAGGATATTGAGTAGAGTTCCCTGTGCTCCACAGTAGGTCCTTGTTGGTTATCTATTTTATATATAGTAGTGTGTATCTCTTAATCCCCAATTCCCAATTTATCCCTCCCCCCCCTTCCCCTTTGGTAACCATAAGTTTGTTTTCCATGTCTGTGAGTCTGTTTCTGTTTTGTAAATTAGTTCATTTGTATCATATTTTAGATTCCACGTGTAAGTGCTATCGTATGTTATATGTCTTTCTCTGACTTACTTCACTTAGTATGACCATCTCTAGGTCCATCCATGTTGCTGCAAATGGCATCCTTTCATCCTTTGTTATGGCCGAGTAATATTCCATTGTATACATGTACCACGTCTTCTTTATCCATTTGTCTGTCGACAGACATTTAGGTAGCTTCCATGTCTTGACTGCTGTGAACAGTGCTGCTGTGAACATTGGGGTGCATGTTTCTTTTTGAATTAGAGTTTTTTCCGGATATATGCCCAGGAGTGGAATTGCTGGATCATAAGGTAGCTCTGTTTTTAGTTTTGTAAGAAACCTCCACACTGTTTTCCACAGTGGCTGGATGCAGCTTAAACTTTAAACTTAAATACTACGTAGAACGCTTTGCTGATAAGATTGAAAGTAGGAAATACTTGATCCT